AATGTAACCTTCCTGCTGCAATGCCCTTCGTTACAGAGAAAACAGGAAAAAGACTATCAGGCTGTACTGGGCGAGGATCATATCTACCAAGTACTCCAGCAGCAGTATCGATAATAACCTCTCCATCTTTGTAGGCACAAACCTTTAGGCGTCAAATTCATAAAGTAGTCAAAATATAAGGAAAACAAGGCAGTTATTTTTTCCATGTCAAAAGCATAAAAACCAGTATAAAATAAATAAGAGATTAGTTTTACAGTTGTTAACAAGTTATTCTTAAGATTCTCATTTATGCTACTTTGTCAGAAAAAAATGGAGCCATGCAGACCTGGATTCCAAGTATTTTGTCATCATTCCCTAACTCAACTAAAATCTGCCTCAGCTTTGCCTCCGCGTCAGAATGAACTGGGGTGTCATTGATCCACTGTGCATTTTCTGATGGCCCCTTGGCAATCTTCCTGGCAATTGAATTTCAAAGTTCAAATAGAGATGAACAATAAACAAAGACATTATACAAATTGGCTCATTGCTCTAGATAGACTTACTCTTGCAGAACAGATTCGGCAAATGGTCTCATGATATCATGATATACTATGCGAGCATCCAATGTGGTAGAAAGTCCTAACCCCACATCAAAGGAAAAGTAAAGAAATGCAAAAGTTTTCTCATTAACTGCTACCAGTGTAAAGAGTTTATTACTGACCTCTCAGAAGACCAATAACCCGTGAAAATATTACCATATCACCAGGAAATGCATCAATCTGAACCAACAATTGTTAATAAATATTGATGAAATTGCTAACAAACAGATCAAGAAAAATATTGATAGAAGTAGAACAATGTGATAGGAAGACTTGCCGGATTAAATCGTTTAACTTCCTTTTGGCTGAGATTCATCTTTTCCTGTAGCACCTTCATGTTTCTTGCTCTTTGCTCTCCCAAAGATTTGGCATATTCCTTTACAGAAACACAGTAAAAGATTGGAATCGCTGGTATCAAAATAGACCTCTAAAAGCAGGCAGTGCATACTTACAGCAGCTTCACTTGCAGATGTTGACGTGCGGAAGAAGACACTGATAAAATCCATAGCCTGCTCAGGAAAGTCCAGGCGCAGCTTAAGTCCCATTTCAGAAAAGGAAGACAAAAGAGCAACATGGTCCCCCTGTAAGAGAAAGCATAGTATTTATTTTATAATGAAAAAATTAAAAAAAATAGAAAAAAAATATAAACAGATAGGAGTGATGACAAAACCAAAAAATATTGTGCTCTGTTGAATTGGCATATCTTATGCATAACAGTGGTGAAAGAATATGAAAATAATGGAGCATGCTCAGCTATACTTGACCAGTAATTTGATTTTAATGACCAATGTGCACTTTTGAGTAAATTTCAGCAAAATATGGAGCAGCTACAATGGGTTAAGCATATACTGTAATGGCAGAGACAGAGAGAAAGGGTAAACAGTATGCTAAACTAGGACACAGAAAACACTCCCATGCAAGAAAAAAATTGTTGTATTGCTCAACACAATTAATCATCAGATCTGTTACACAGATGCTCTATGATTATAATGCATTATTGACAGTACACTGACAGGAAGATTTTCACAAACCTCAGCCGTAGCAAGAAACATTTTAGCTAGTGATTGTTTCATAGAGCTTGATATCCTCTTTGTCAGCCCAAAGTCAAGCAAAATTGGACGATGTGGAGGTTCTTTGCTCACCAGAAAATTACCTGCACCACAACCAATATAAAAGCATTCAACAGAGTAAACTGATTCTGATTTAGGGCGCAATTAGGGAGAATAGGATAGAAGAAAGGGTAGAGCAACGTGCATAAGAGAAATGGGAGAAAGAACATATGTTTTGATTTTCGATTTCAGACCCGTAATCAAATTTCATTCATTAAAATAGCTCCCTGAAAGCATATCGCAGGTGTTACATAAACATCAACAAGAGAAAATTTGGACACACATTCTCTTTTTCTTTCCTTGTCTGAGGAAACAGCCAGGGATTCTGTTTTCTTTTTTCCTTATATACTATTGGTAAGCAAACACTAGAGCAGTAGTTGAGAGAGAGAGAGAGGTGTACCAGGATGAGGGTCACCATTAAAAAACCCGTCAACATATATTTGATGGGCAAAGGCCCGTGTGATTTCTTCAACAATCTTTTGGTTGTTAGCACCACAAGCTTCTAGGGATTCAAAGTCATTCAAGCGAATTCCATCCATATATTCCAAAATCAGAACTTTTTCTGTCGACTGTTAAAGAGAAGAACATGATGCACAGTCAGAAAGAGTGAAAAGATTGAAGGATCATTATCAAAATAAGAATAGCGAAAAAGGCACCAAGCAGTTAGGATTAGAAGGAATTCACTATTTAAGATCCACTCATTGAAAATATATATAGAAACCATCTGTATTAGGTTAAAAACATGTGAAGAGACTAGCATCTAGTAATTATAGGTATGTGCATGTGTTTTACTCGGGTATATGGTATAGACATTCACGATGGTGTCATAACTAAATAATTCATTTTCCTCCACTGCAATCTGCCCAGGCTTCAGAATGACATAAAAATGTTCATTTTTCTCCCACATGATTCTTTTTGTAAGAATGGTAGTTAACTGTCAGGGCTCAGAAATGTCAATGAAGATGCCTGCAATGAGTCCTTTAATATTTGTTCCGGACAGAGAGAAATGTTAATAAAATTCCTACGACAAGATATATTTTTAGGATTTCATCCTATTGCACCTGCACTCGAGCAAGCAACTTTGTTATGTCAAAACATGAGAGCAAAATGATACCTGAATAACCTCTGGAATCAAAACATCCACTTGATTGATGGGCTTGTTGCTATCATATTTGCTTGTGCAGCCAAGATTTTGAGACACGGTTCTGGTATTCTCTACAAATACAATAGACCAGAATCAGTAAGAGAGAAAGGTACACTGAACAGTAGAGAAACACAATGATGTACTTGATAAGAAAAACAGTAAGAGAATATAAATGGAGGAAGAGATTAAAGAATATAAAATTCCTTGCATTGTCTCTGCACAGTGTTAATAAATATATTGGGAATGTCCTACACTGAATTCAGTATAGTGAGTTGGAGTTTCACTTTCATGAACATGCTAGAAAATGGCTGAATACACAGTTGCCAACCATCACTTTCATCTCTACAACATCCAAGCTCACCACTGCAACATAGCACCAATGCTAATGCTTCCATTAGCACTACCAGCACCATTCCAAAGTCCTCACATGAGTTGCCACCAAATCACCACTAGAACCATGCCACTGCCATTGCACTGCTACCACCACACTGCCTTGACCACTGTCATTAAAGTTACCCTCACATTGCCACCATCATTGCTGCTGCTGCCACCCTCATTGCACCATATCCATCAAGCAAAGTTGTTGCCTCCACATTCAGAGAGTACATACAACCACTAAAATCCAAATATGATCACCACAACTGCCAACCTTGCCTCCACCACCATCAATTATCCTCACTGCTGACACCACACAGCTATCATCCCATTCACTTCATTGATTCAATAAAAAATTAAGATGCGGCACTTGGTATGGATTCTAAACATGATCAGATTTAACTGTCCCAATGATTGGATTTCATTATCATTATTTCAAGCTCCTGATATGAATCCCAAATCTCAATACCCTCATCCAGACCCAGCCAGAGCTCACATTTATTATCTATTGGTTGTAAAAGAACATAAAATAGCAAATCAACATAATTTCATCCACAGAAATATTGCAAAAGACAAAGTTTACCTGCTTCATGGTTGAAGTCAAGTTCTTTTGGAGCTTCTTTGCACCATTCATCGATCATAGGGCTGAAGTTATACTGCGGTTCTGCCCATGCTATCCAGTCAACAATGGATTTTGCATCCTTTAAATCCTGCAAAAAAAAAAGGCATGCAAAACAACCATAACGACTGAAACATTTGCTTTCCGATGCAGTATCTCAAAAGCCAAACTCCAAAGAGTTTCCAAACCTCCAATATGATTTTCTTGATGTCTTCATGTTGAACTTTAACAACCACCTTCTGCCCATCAATTAATGTTGCACGATGCACTTGTGCAATCTACATAGATTATAACATGAGAACAACAAGATTATTCCAAAATGTACACACCTTGTGAGAGCAAGAAAATCAAAATTTCAATCCTAAATGAGCATCCACGCTAACTTCCTAGCACAAAAATATAGTCTAAGGATCTTACCGATGCTGTTGCCAGAGGATTTTCGTCAAAATCCAAGAAAAGCTCCTTCGTGGATTTCCCTAGTTCTTTCTTGATAGTGTGACAAACCTGTGTGCAAACAAAAATTTTAACAGAACCAACCAGTGAGAAACATGGCTTGAAAATAAACAGCTAACATTATGAGATAAAAACTAATCAGAAACATTAAATCAACAAAGTCACATCGAATCACATGAAGACTTCCAAATCTACTAGAAAAAGACTAAAACAAAACCTCTTCAAACGGACGAGGAGGGAGAGAGTCCTGCAACTGCTTGAGAATTGAAATGAAAGCAGAAGGAAGCACATCAGCACGTGAGGACAAATACTGTCCAAGTTTCACCCACAAACCTTCCAACTCTACCATCAAATTAAAAACACGCTTAGCATTCCGCTCATGGGCCTTCTTCCACAATGCATCACTTTTCGGTTTCTTCATGAATTTCTCTCTTTTCTGTAAAGCCTTCAGTATAAAAAAAGACAACCACCACAATCAGCATAAGCAATAAGCATTACTCAAAATAAATAACTCATAATCAGACTTTCAATACGGTTGATTCGTACCTTGTAATCAATGTAAATTATCAAGGCCAAAGTAAATACTTTCGCACGTCTCCTGTAAATGTTTCCCCACCCCATCTCTAACAAACAAAATATATATATAAAAAAACAAATGCAGCCAACAGCAGCTAAAAGTTCACTCCCCGCCTCCTTTACGACTATGTCCAACCAACTCCCCGCAGCGTACCTGAAAAACATCACAGAATCAAATCCTGATATTCTTTTTTATTTTTTATTTTTTGAGAATGCATGATTACAATAAAATATAAAAATCTTCCAGCCTACCAATACCACATAGGCATAGCCTTATTTCTTCACAAACTAATTAATAATTGTTCGAATTATTACTAAAAATCAAATTTTTTATATCAAATTGTAATTTTACACTCTAATTGTGAGAAATTGTAAAATTAAAGGCAAATTACAATCAAATTGAACAAAAAAAATCAAAAGATACCTGATTAAAACAGTAGTCTTTAAGTAGCAGTAAGATAATAGTGATTAAAAACACAAAATCTAGGTTCAAAAATTGAGAATTTAAAAAAGAGAG